TAATATGGTGGGAGGAGTCATTTGGTTAGTTTTGAGTGAAATCCGATCTCTAGAACTATGGAATACACCAACCACTACGATTAGGAATGAACTGCCTTTGAACATAAATTGTCGAATTTCTTACACCTATTGATCTCGGATCGAGCCCAAAACTTGGGCAACACCATAATATGGTGGGAGGAGTCATGTGGTTAAGTTTGAGTGAAATCCGATCTCTAGAAGTACCCAAAACACCAACCATTCCAATTAGGAACGAACTGCATTTGAGCTTGAATTGTTCAAATTCTTACACCTATTAATTTCGGAATGAGCCCAAAACTTGGGCAACATCCTAATATGGTGGGAGGAGTCATTTGGTTAGTTTTGAGTGAAATCTGATCTCTAGAACTGTGTAATACACCAACCAGTCCGATTACGAACGAACTGCCTTTGAACATAAATTGTCCCATTTCTTTCACCTATTGATTTCGGATCGAGCCCAAAACTTGGGTAACATCATAATATGGTGGGAGGAGTCATTTGGTTAAGTTTGAGTGAAATCCGATCTCTGGAACTACCCAAAACACCAACCGCTCCAATTAGGAACGAACTGCCTTTGAACTTGAATTGTCCAATTTCTTACACCTATTGAATTCGGATCGAGCCCAAAACTTGGGTAACATCATAATATGGTGGGAGGAGTCATTTGGTTAGTTTTGAGTGAAATCCGATCTCTAGAACTATGGAATACACCAACCACTCCGATTAGGAATGAACTGCCTATGAACATAAATTGTCCAATTTCTTGCACCTATTGATTTCGGATCGAGTCCAAAACTTGGGCAACATCAAAAGATGGTGGGAGGAGTCATTTGGTTAGTTTTGAGTGAAATCCGATCTCTAGAACTACGGAATACACCAACCACTCCGATTAGTAAGGAACTGCCTTTGAACATGAATTGTCCAATTTCTTACACCTATTGATTTCGGATCGAGTCCAAAACTTGGGCAACATCAAAAGATGGTGGGAGGAGGCATTTGGTTAGTTTTGAGTGAAATCTGATCTCTAGAACTATGTAATACACCAACCGGTCCGATTACGAACGAACTGCCTTTGAACATAAATTGTCCCATTTCTTTCACCTATTGATTTCGGATCGAGTCCAAAACTTGGGCAACATCAAAAGATGGTGGGAGGAGGCATTTGGTTAGTTTTGAGTGAAATCTGATCTCTAGAACTATGTAATACACCAACCGGTCCGATTACGAACGAACTGCCTTTGAACATAAATTGTCCCATTTCTTTCACCTATTGATTTCGGATCGAGTCCAAAACTTGGGCAACATCAAAAGATGGTGGGAGGAGGCATTTGGTTAGTTTTGAGTGAAATCTGATCTCTAGAACTATGTAATACACCAACCGGTCCGATTACGAACGAACTGCCTTTGAACATAAATTGTCCCATTTCTTTCACCTATTGATTTCGGATCGAGCCCAAAACTTGGCCAACATCATAATATGGTGGGAGGAGTCATTTGGTTAGTTTTGAGTGAAATCTGATCTCTAGAACTGTGTAATACACCAACCGGTCCGATTACGAACGAACTGCCTTTGAACATAAATTGTCCCATTTCTTTCACCTATTGATTTCGGATCGAGCCCAAAAGTTGGGCAACATCATAATATGGTGGGAGGAGTCATTTGGTTAGTTTTGAGTGAAATCTGATCTCTAGAACTATGGAATACACCAACCACTACGATTAGGAATGAACTGCCTTTGAACATAAATTGTCGAATTTCTTACACCTATTGATCTCGGATCGAGCCCAAAACTTTGGCAACACCATAATATGGTGGGAGGAGTCATTTGGTTAGTTTTGAGTGAAATCTGATCTCTAGAACTATGGAATACACCAACCACTACGATTAGGAATGAACTGCCTTTGAACATAAATTGTCGAATTTCTTACACCTATTGATCTCGGATCGAGCCCAAAACTTGGGCAACACCATAATATGGTGGGAGGAGTCATGTGGTTAAGTTTGAGTGAAATCCGATCTCTAGAACTACCCAAAACTCCAACCACTCCAATTAGGAATGACTGCCTTTGAACTTGATCCGAAATCAATCGGTGTAAGAAATTGGACAATTCAAGTTCAAACGCGGTTCTTTCCTAATTGTGGTGGTTGGTGTGTTGGGTAGTTCTAGAGATCGGATTTCACTCAAACTTAACCAAATGACTCCTCCCACCATATTATGATGTTGCCCAAATTTGGGGCTCGATCCGAAATCAAAAGGTGTAAGAAATTGTTGATAGTTAAAAAGCGTCAAGAGAAGAGATTGTGATGTTTCATAACCGTCAGGAAACATTAAATCGTGACGAAATAATTAAATTGCTAAATAATTACATAAAACAAGAAACTGAAATCTCACATCCACTAAAATAAAATTATTGTATATATAAATTTAAGTACTAAAAAAATGTTCATGTCAACTATCTGGGCAAACGATATTAAAAACATATAAGCATAGGGAAATAAACAAATTGATCTATATAGAACTTGTCACTTGGAAGCTTGACTTTGCTTGATGGGCCTAAGATTGCCTTTGTGGTATGAGCCCGCACTAATCACATCAATCTGCTAAGATGTAAACGTATGAATTAACAAGTTAATAAATGTCGACGGAACTAAGACTAAGCAGAATTCAGATTATGCCTTAAATAATCTCTAATCTTTAATAATATATATAATGCTGAGATTATGAACCTGTTAAGTCCTCACTTTGTTAAACATACATATTCTTTGATATTTAAATAATGTAAAGTTAACAAAGATAATATCAAGCAAAGAAGTTCTATGATCAAAAGTATTGAATGATAGCCTAGTATTGAATAATAATCAAAACACAGAAATCAGTGCACCTAAATAATGAAATACAAGTCTCATACAACAAGATCAGTCACATGAAAGTATATGTGAAAGGATATAAGAGCACAATTGCATATTTCACTCTAATGTGTTACTAGGATTAACATTTACTTACATGGGGTTGAATAGAGATTGATAAAGATATCAATTGACCAATAATCAAATGTACACATTTATGGCAGCATGTTGATGCACATTTAAACAGAAAGTTAGAAATCATGAAGTATAAATATTTATAAAGCAAAGTTCACTCAAATGAAACTCTAGAACAGTTAGAAATATTTCTAAAGCCAAGTCACTCACATGAGAAGCTGCAACTTTTACTTTCAACAATGCTATTAGAGCTTCTTCTGTACATACATGAAGAGATTTTTTTAAAAGAAAAAACCTATATTTTTAAATGATGTAACACAAGTAAACAAGGGTAAGCATGCATCAAGGAGAAATGTAGACCACTAAATTAGCAAAAATAATCTTTAAATTCCACAAGACCTTATAATACCTGAAACAAGTCAGGGGCCTTCACAAATTCCACAATTGTGCGCACAGTTTCCTCATTGGCTTCACTCAATATATATGCATCTTCAACAGCAAAAGTAGCTAAGTACTCTTGCTCAGGAATTTGAAAGACTCCTTTGCCAAGCTGAAAATACAACACAAAAATTAATCAATTATTCCTCAAACCATTTGAACAGGGCGTACACATACAAAAAAATATTATAGTTCACAATTTCCACATAGCATAACATACCTTTTGTGTTCTTTTAAAACATTTGAGATGGTAAGAAATAGTTGCCTCTTGTCCGAGATCCCAATATTCCACTCTTTCAAGAAACTTTCTATCTTTTTGAACTAAGGGATGACACATTCAGTGACCTTTCCATTGATTGCGAAATTTAGAGAACTCAAGTAGACAAAGAACCAGTTGTATGGATTCTCCAACAAGTTATATATAGAATACAAACAGAGCCAAAAGCCCAGACAGCAAGACACAAGAACTGGGTGGCCATCAAGACACAAGAACTAGCCAAAAGCCAGGGCTAGAACCAAGCTTCTCACCCAGTCAAAAATAAATACGAAAATGAACAACATAAAAGAAAAACATAAAAACCCATAAGACAAGGAATTGAAGACAGAACAAGAAATTGACTCCTTAAAATTCCTAGAAATGAAAATCAAGCAATTCATAGAAAATTGCAACACTAAGGAATAATTTTTACTAGCATCCAAGACTAGGAGAGAGAAAGAAATGACCAAAAATAATGAGAACCATAAAACCCATACTAGAATCCAAATACTCAATTAGGAAAACGATCCAAATATAGAAAACAAATTAAATCTGTATCAGATTCATGTTTTCAGACTTGAACTTTTAAATAAAATGAACCCAAATACAGAAAAGAGATCGAATCCATTCTGGTGTATTATAATCTAGATTTCAAAGAAAACGACCTCAAATTCTAAAAAGTGATGAAGAAACGCACCTCAGTTTGCAGTTGACATAGGAAAAACTCGATTCCGGTGATGCCGCTGAACCAGAGCAAGAAAGATTCTCCAACATCATGTCCTTCATCTCATCTCCTCTGTCTGCAGTCGGATCGATCACCCACACCATATTTCATGGGTTCCACTGCCGCTCGTGAAGCTAAGGTCTCCGATCGAATCGGGTCTCGGGTCTTTTTTGTGATTTTGCAGATGGTTGTGAAATGGTTATGGATACTGGTGTTTATCGGGGTCTGAGTGGTCGAGTTGAAGCTAGTGTTTGGTAGGGGTTGTGCTCTCGTTGATGCTGATTTGTGGGTTTTGCAATCTGCTTAGAGTGGCTGAAAACCCAAAGATACCAACAGAAAAATTGGAAAGAAACTGAGAGATCTTGAGCAAGAGAGTAAGAGCGGAAAGATGATTAAGGAGAACATAGAAGAATTGAGCGAGAGATTGAGAGCAGAGAGACGAGTTGTGCGACACAGTGATCTTGAGAAAAAGAAAAGGTTGGGCGGCGCAAGACAGTGAAAGAGAAGGGAGAAAAATGGAACCGCATAGTGCTTAGGGTTTTCTTCTTACATTAAAAAACAAATAAAAGATTAATTGTCGGTTTTTTTGGATGGTAACTGACGGTTTCTAAAAACGTCAACAAAATGGTGTTTTACCTGACGTTTTTGAAAAAACGTCAAAGCTATGGTGCATTAGCTGACACTTTCTACAAAATGTCAGGGAAAACGGGAATATAGTTGACGTTTTCTAAAAAGCGTCAAAGCTTTGTAGAATAGTTGATGGTTTTTTAAGAAACGTCAACTATGAAGTGTCAACTAATGCCTATTTTCTTGTAGTGTTTGGTTAGTTTTGAGTGAAATCCGATCTCTAGAACTATGGATTACACCAACCACTCCGATTAGGAACGAAATGCCTTTTAACATAAATTGTCCAATTTCTTTCACCTATTGATTTCGGATCGAGCCCAAAACTTGGGCAACATCATAATACGGTGGGAGGAGTCATTTGGTTAAGTTTGAGCGAAATCCGATCTTTAGCACTACGTAAAATACCAACCACTCTAATTAGGAACGAACTGCCTTTGAACTTGAATTCTCCAATTTCTAACACCTATTGATTTCGGATCGAGCCCAAAACTTGGGCAACATCATAATATGGTGGGAGGAGTCATTTGGTTAAGTTTGAGTGAAATCCGATCTCTAGAACTATGGAATACACCAACCACTCCGATTTGGAACGAACTGCCTTTGAACATAAATTGTCCATTTTCTTGCACCTATAGATTTCGGATCGAGACCAAAACTTGGGCAACATCATAAGATGCTGGGAGGAGTCATTCGGTTAGTTTTGAGAGAAATCCGATCTCTAGAATCATGGAATACACCAACCACTCCGATTAGGAACGAACTGCCTTTGAACTTGAATTGTCCAATTTCTTACACCTACTGATTTCGGATCAAGCCCAAAACTTGGGCAACATCAAAAGATGGTGGGAGGAGTCATTTGGTTAGTTTTGAGTGAAATCCGATCACTAGAACTATGGAATACACCAACCACTCCGATTAGGAACGAACTGCCTTTGAACTTGAATTGTCCAATTTCTTACACCTATTGATATCGGATCGAGCCCAAAACTTGGGCAACATCATAATATGGTGGAAGGAGTCATTTGGTTAAGTTTGGGTGAAATCCGATCTCTAGAACTACCCAAAACACCAACCACTCCAATTAGGAACGACTGCATTTGAACTTGAATTGTCCAATTTCTTACACCTATTGATTTCGGATCGAGCCCAAAACTTGGGCAACAGCATAATATGGTGGGAGGAGACATTTGGTTGAGTTTGAGTGAAATCCTATCTCTAGAACTACCCAAAACACCAACCACTCCAATTAGGAACGAACTGCCTTTGAAC